TCGATCTTAGGTGCGCGTATCGACATCATCGTAAATAGATTTGTTAAGATGTCATTATTTTCTTGAAAGTTCTGTTCTCCGTGCAAAGGAGGGGTTCTTATAGTCAACTCAAATCTTTGAAGATTTAACAGGGCATTGTGTCGCTCGGTAAGTAAAGCAAAGTTCATGTCCATTAATGATAAGGTATGCTCGTCGCCAATGTAAACCTTGAGACTTTTTAATCTATTACACCGACTAAATATCAGATGGGTGATTTCTTTTGTCACGCTGCATCTGGGGTGTTGAGAATAATAATCCTTTACTGCTGGCTCCAGGCATTTATTTAATACTCTGTGAAATATATTTTTCGGGTAAGTTATATAGCAATCTTTGACTAGGGGTCCAAGAACTTTCTTAAAAGGCCTGCAGAAAACATTAAGTGGGTCTTCATAAAGCCCGTTCATTATTGTTATTTCCATCCACAAGTTTAGAGCTTGACGGAACTTATCGGAGTCAAAGTTCTGTAGAAATTTCGGATAATCGAAAGCCGGTTGAGGGTGATTAACCAGCTTTATTCCTGCGTATACCAAGCGAGCTTTGGCACTGTCTGGAAGGCAGATGGCATAAGTTTGAATTATCTTATGATATCGTTCTTGAGTAACTATTTCAAATGGTTGTCGCCATAATAGAGGAATCGCTATATAATTCCACAAATGGTTAACACGAGCCAAAGAATAAAGTGTTGTCGGGTCACTGAAATATTTAAAAACTTCATGAAGAATATCGGAAGAAAGCACTGAGAGAGACATTTACTTTACCTTATTTACGTTACATCTTATTACATCTTTTGACAGGTTTTTGTTGATTTGTACCTTATCCGGACTTTGCGTTCACTTTGTTCCAAATCAATCAATATATATTGTCATGACGTTATTGTACAAAAACATATGGTCGTCATTGTTATTTACTTTTGTGGACTGCTGCATCTAAAATCGCGACCCTGCTAGAAAAACCCTATATTTATTTTTGTCGTTATTGCGACTAAGAAGACGAAGAGAGATTTCCCGAAAACTCTGTAGCCATTAAAGTTTTACAAACCATAATCCAAAAAAAGCTAACAATCTCACCATTATAGAATCCATTTCGGGATAGTATGGAAGGAAATTAGCAGTAAATCGATATTATATTGTTCACTGATAGCCGGCAACATTATTAGGAAATAAATTTGTTTTTAACGTACTTTATGAAATATGTATAAATTATGAGGAAATAAATATAATTGACAATTGATAAATTTATAATTTAAAGTTATTTTTTAAAATAGTATAACACTGAGACTAACTTTTTTTATTAATTATGTATATACTGAATAAGAAATACTCTTTATATGCAAAAAAATAAAAAGCCTACGATAAGAAAATAATGGTTATAATAAGATATAAAAAAGCAATAGAGTCCAAAAATCAAAAAAAAATTTTTTATGATTCCGATATTTATTGCTAGAATTGTTATATATGATATGTTCAATGCAAGTCTAACTTTTTTTTATTTTATACTTAATAAAAAACTATAAAATCTTGAAAAAATTTTGCAGTTACTTAAGAAATGTTTAAATAAAAATCTTTTAACGATTTAAAGAACATAAATTTTTATCTCTATACAAAATAAATAGATTTTCATAATATAATTTGAAAAAAAAATTTTTTTTAAAGGTTCTATATCTTAATCATAATAAAGTCTATATGTTTTTTTAAATAATACTGTTTCTTAATTAAATATAAAATAATAATAATAATAATAAGTACTCTTTAAAGAATTTAAGATTTTTACTATTTTTTTTTAAAATTATTATTATTAATTATTATATTCTTTTTTTGACTTTGTTTTTTTGTTTCTTTTTAAAAATATACTTTGTATATATACGTATATAGTCTATTACAAAAGTTTTTGGATGTTTTTTGAATTTTATTTTAACTTATAATTTTATAAATAATTAATAAAATAAACCAATATTTATATTTTTTTTATTTATATATTTAAAGATTATAATTATTAAAAAAATTTTTTTTGTTATATAATAAAATTTTATTAAATTTAAATTTAAAAATAAAAAGCTTATTAAAAACAATAGTTTATTTTTTATTAATAATAAAAAAATTATTATAAATTATTAAATTATTTTAATAAATAAAATTTATTAAATAATAACTAATAAAATAATATTTTTTTTATAGTTTTTTTTATTTGAATATTTTATAAGTTAATTATTGATTTTTTAAAATTTTTTAAGTTTGTTTTTTGATAAAAATTAATATAAATTATAAAAAAATATTTTTTATATAATAAAAAAATATATATATACATTTGTATAATAGAAACTAGATATATATATTTATATTAATAATTAATTAATAAGTTTATTTTAAAATTTTTATAAAAATAATAATTGCATTTAAAAATAAATCAAATATAGATTTTAAATTATAAGAATTAGAAAAATAGTTTAATTTATATAAAAAAATTATAAAATATTATTATAATTTTTAATTATTGTTTAATAAAAAATTTAACAAAATATAAAAATAATTAATATATAATTAATTTTAATCTTTTTTTCATAATAGGAAAATATTATTTTTTTATTTATGATATTATATTTATAGAGTCATATATACTGTAAAAAAAATAAAATCTTAAATACAAAATATATGACAAGTTAAATACTAGCTTGATTATATATCTATATTTAGTTAATATTAAAAAAAATTTTAAATAATATTATATATACTAAATATAACTAAATAGCAATTATACTTATTTATTTAGAATTTTTTTATTGAATATAAAAAAATTAAAAGTAAAAGAAAATTGAAAGAAAAAATAAACTAGTATTATAATAATATAGGCTATTAAATTATAATCAAATCACTTAAACTATAAGATTTATATAAATAAAAATAATATCTTCAAAAAAATATTTAGTTTGACTTGATAATTAATCTAATTCCTTATTGCTTATTAATATTGCTTTTGTTGACATAAATAATAAAGTATAATTAATGTTCTTTATTATTATTATAATAGTAGTTATGGTTATTGTTATATTAAAAAACTAATTTAAATAGATTTGATTTTTATTTTATTATTTTAATAAAATCTAATTGGATAATTGAAAAGTAATAATTATTTGAAGAGAATAAACTAATTTTGATTTTTTTAAAAAAAGTTTTTGAAAATTTTGAAATGATATAGTACGTATTGCCATAATGAAATTATATATAAAGATTATATTAAAATAAACAATAGACTCTAACTTTATTTGAATATATTTTTTGAAAAATGTTTAATTTAGCAAATATAATAATATTAATATAAATAGTTTTTATAATATATAAATAGTTTTTATAATATATAAAAATAAAAAAAAATAAAAAAAAATGTAATTAAAAGATAAGCAAAATTTTTAAACTTAAATAGACTTTAATCAGAAATTTTATTTTACTGTATCAATTATCTTAAAAGTTTTTAAGTTTTTGAATAGGAATTTATCTATAATAAAGAGTATAAAATATTTTTTCTTGCTTAAAATTATTATAAAAGAAAAATTTTTAATAAAACAAATATGATTAAAAGAAAGTTAAACTTTATTATTAATTATGAATTATATTATATTTTAATATAACAAATTGTAACATTTTTTAAAAAAGTTTATTATATAATATATA